GTGACACTGTAATACATGCAAATTAACATGAATTGTTGTAGAAATGAACTGTCGACGAAATAAACTGTCGACGAAATGAACTTTCGACGAAATGATTGTCGATGAAATAATTGTCGATGAAATAATTGTCGATGAAGTGATCGACGACGAAATGATTGTCGATGAAATGATTGTCGACGAAATGAATCAGACCCGTTTTTATCAAATAGATATTGGAAGCAAATTTTTATTATGTTATCTAATAACCATTAATTTAACAATAATTATAGAACAACTACCTTGTTTCTTTTGTGTGTCCTATTTATTTACCCTGTTTCTATTATCCACATTCATTTTTATCTAATAATAAGAAACAGATATAAATATATAATACAAAACTATTAATTTAACAATAATTATAGAACGACCACCTTGCTGTATCCTTCCTTCTTCAGCTTTTCCTTTAGTAGTTTCATTTATTGTTCTTAAAAATTTTCAGTTTTAGTTTCTTTACAAAGTGCGCATTGTCTAATTTTTCACTATTATGTATTGAAGTTGAGGAAGGAATGATCTGGAATGATCAGACATGGAAACCGTTTTAAAAGATGAATGATTATATTACTGCAAAGTTTGAACACAGGTTAATTAGTGTTCGTCCATTCACCTTCCGAATGGGGTAATAATACTTTAAAATTTTCAATTGAAATACGAATGTCCATCATCGATCATTCGTTACACAAATCTGCTACGTACTTGAATTCTTTAAAAGGTAATGAGACCAATTGTGTCTAATGAATTGTTTTCTTCCGAAGCCTATTCATGAAAATACATATATAATATAGCATCGCGTGAATTTTCTTTTTTTTCTTTCAAAGTTTAACATATTTTTAAATTTTTTGAAAAAATGTCGGAAAAAGAAACAAAGCCAAGAGAATATTTAATTAATTTTGCAAAAGTTGTAGCAGTCAGTTATATTCTTGTGATTTCTTCTTATTTATGATTTATATATCGAAATAAAAGATTTAAATGATACCATTCAAAAGGTTGAAGTTGAATCGAACGATATATTAGTTCCTCCAGCTTTAACTTTTTGTATAGAAAATGACCTAACTTGCAATTTTACTGTCACAGTTCACAATTCACGGGTTGGAACAGGAAATGATTATATAACCATGTTTGCCCCAGAAAACTTGACCGAGTATTGTTGCAAGATGTTGAGCGTGTAACAATATAGTAATATATTAATTTGTCAGAGTCTTTTGTTTTTTATTATTAAAAATTACTATTGTTAATTTCTCTAGAGAATAAAGTCACCATCAACAGTTATACAAAAAAATTCAATAAACAAAAAATGTAGAAGATATGCTATTTACGTACACGGTGCGCTAGGACCAGAAACAAACAAAACTTCAATATTAATTATATTTTTGATCCACTGCGAACTGATTCGTTGTTTTGTATATAATAGATTTTTAAAGTTAGATCCTGATATTAATAGGGTAATACATTTTAGCAGAACTAAAAATATCAATATAAACAACAAAGTAACAAATGATGTAAAATGTAGCATCATTGATGAATTCCATGAACCTCGATCAGATGTAAATAGTTCAACAAATATAACTACTGTTATGCTTCTTCCTTAACGGATTGGAGGTTTATAATATATACATTATATATATATATATATACATACATATTTAATATTAAATATTTTTTTTTTCGGGCCAATTTTTGTCATGTAGTATACACGCAGTTTAAAGACTCAAATTCAAAATGATGTTATTGCAATCTTTTTCGGAGAAAAGTTTCAATTATTCCATAATATATATATATACGTCAAAAAAATAAATATAATAATCGACAGTTTAGTGTAACGTAACTATTGCCATCACACACAAAAATCTAATACTTTCAAATTTTATCATTAAAAAATGGCCTACTCCAATTCCAGCAAGCCATTAACAACTTCAAATGAAACCCCAAAAGATTATGAAGTATAAACATCTTTAACGATGGTTGCAATTTTGTTTTATACTATAAATATTAATATAAATAATAATAAGTTCATTTTACAATTGTACATACATGCATATAATGTAGGTTCCTCAATCGCCTCCAGATGGAATATCATCGGTTACATTTTCTCCACAGGCGGATTATTTTGCAGTTACTTCTTGGGATAATCATGTATTTCTGAATTTTATATTTTATAATTTTTGAATTCTCAAGATTTACAACTAGAATATTAATTAACCAATATTTACAATGATTTATATAAAAAGGTTCGAATATATGAAGCAAATCAACAAGCTGGTACTACTGAAGGAAAAGCTTATCATCTACATGAGAAACCAGTACTCTGTTCGGCCTGGAGTAATGTTCGTATGATAACAAATAATTCGTTCGTTCGCTCATTCATTCATTCATCAATCACTCAATCAATCAATTTCTCAATGAATATATTAGGATGGTACAAAGGTATTTTCAGGTGGTGCAGATTGTGCAGGACGTATGTTTGATATCACCACCCAAACTGCAACTCAAATAGCTCAACATGTACAACCAATACGATGTATCGAATGCGTCGATGCAAACAATATCGTAGTAACTGGAGGTTGGGATAAAACACTCAAGGTGGTAACCTTTTTTAGAAGGAAAGAGATTTATTTATAAATTAATTACTGATTGTGGTTACTGTCATTATTGTGGTTATTTAGTATTGGGATTTAAGATCTCCACAACCTGTTTTGAATGTTAATCTACCTGAAAGAGTTTATGCAATGGATTTACATTACCCACATCTTGTGGTAGGAACAGCTGATAGAAATGTTATATATTACAATCTTACCAACCCAAGTCAACCAGTAAAAGTAAGAAAAAAATTGACGAGCTTTTTATTTAATTATTATATGAATATTAATTAATGTAATTTTAATTGATCAAATAGCAAGACTTTAGTACATTGAAATGGCAAACACGTTGTGTTGCATGTTATCCAGCAGGTAATGGTTACGCAATAGGAAGCATTGAGGGAAGAGTAGGCATACAATATTTCGATGAGAAAGACCAGTAAGATTATCATTTCAATATTGATTAGTTGGTTTGTTTTTAATTTTGCTTTTTTTTTTGAATTGAAGCTGATTTTTTTTTATTTAAACAAGACGACAAGGATTTTCATTCAAGTGCCATAGAGATGGAAATAATATTTATGCAGTGAATGCGATATCTTTCCACCCATTATATGGTACATTTTCAACATCGGGAAGTGATGGCTCGTTTAGTTTTTGGGATAAAGAATCTAAACAACGAATCAAGGGTTTTAATACGGTTGGTGCACCTATTATTGCCACTGATTTCAATAGAAATGGTACACTGTTTGCTTATGCTGTAAGCTATGATTGGAGTAAGGTAACTAAATCATTTGATTAATCGAGTAATTATTTATTATTTGTCTGTTTATTTATTTATAATATTGAAATTATTATTATTGAAATTATAGGGATATCTTCAATACCCGCAATTACCTACAAAGAATGCAATTTTCTTACGTGCAATATCTGATGATGATGTCAAACCTAAAAAATCAACAAAAAGTCGTTAAATTATTCTTATTATTATTCTTATTATTATTATCACTTTAATATTATATTATTATTTATTAGCTAATATTTTTTTTTATTTCCGTACTCTCAGAATTTACTTAATGTCATATATAATATATATATTTTCACTTATATGTCAGAATTAAAATATTTAGATTTCTTTATATTTTATTTTATTGAATTTTCTATTTTTTATAAATTAGTAAAAGTTTGTATATGGTATCATTTTTTTAAAAAAGAAAGGAATCTAATCACACATATTCATCAAGCAACTATTTTACAGAATTTACAAAAATGATAGACACCATGTATATAATCATCTAAAGAAGAATAGAAGGGCGAAGGATAGATAGAAGGATGAAAAAAGGTGGACGGGAATGAGAAAATAAGGTTGATTCAACAATTAGCAAAGAAGCTTTATTGAGAAAATATTAATATTATGTCGATCAATAAATCGAATCAAGAGGATTGACAATTAAGATTGATATTATATATATATACTCACATATAAATAAATATAGTTTTTTGACAATGTCTTTGTCATATAATTGTGGCCATGTTCTAATAATAGATGTGCGATTCAGGACAAATTTATATTATAAATGATAATAACAATATAATCCCAAAGTTAAAATAATATATAGTCGTTCATTTTCCATGATTGGAGAGTACTTGAAGTACTAGAAAGTAATATTTATAGTGCAACGGCAAAACACGTGTTAATTACCTGGATACCTGCGACACGCACCTAAATTCTGTGCTGATTATGCTAGCATAACGTTTTTAATTTTTGCACATCTCCCAATGAAATGATAAATTGAAAAGAATTTATTTTAATGATATTAATAATATATGGACATTCTCCATTAATAGCAAGTAATTAATCAGGTAAGCAACCTGAAAATTACTTTAAAAGGTAATAATACCAATAATAATGATAATAATAATAATGATAAAAAGTGAAGACAAGTAAATGGATGAAGGCAAATTTGTAAGTTAAATTAAATCAAGTTTATGGGTGAAAT